CCTTTGGGCAAACTTTATTCAGATCCGTGTAATCAGTACAGACTCTCCACTTTCCATTGGGTTTTTTCACCATGGCGATGTTGGCTAGCCAAGTCGTATACTGTATTTCATGAATAAACCCGGCATCCAGCAATTCCTTCACATGGTCCTCCAGAACTCGTTTTCTTTCTGGCCCCAGTTTCCTTTTCTTCTGCGAAACTGGTACTGATCAGGGGTAAATTGCTAACTTGTGGCAGCAAAAAGTTGGATCTATGCCGAGAATCTCTGATGACTTCCCTGCAAAGACATCTGTGTTGCTTTTGAGAAAACCGGCTAACTCTTCCTTAATGTGGGGATCTATGGTCTTACCAATTCGGGTAAATTGACCAGGTTCTTTTCCCAGCGTAAGGTCTTCTAATTCCCCATCTGGCTCTGGCCAGGGATCACTTCTTCTCTCATATCCAGCTCAACCACATTGACGGGTTTTTCTGAATGATGAGGGATTGCCTTCTTGCCGGCTTTATCCCCCAGACGTATCCGGGTGGACTTAAGTGTCGACCTTCGTTCCCTTTGACTGTTTCAAAGTAGCATTCCCTGGATTCTTTTTTATCGCCACTGATGGTAATGATTTCATTCCTGCTGCCTATCATCTTTATCTTTTGATGCTTTGTGGAGACCAGCATATCCCATTTGTGTATGGTTGGTCTCCCCAAAATGATATTGTATTCTGATGAGAAATCAGCCATTATGAATCTCACTCGTTCTAATTTGAACGCTTCCTTCATTCCTAGGGTTAACCTGAGATCTATATAGCCTTTAGGAGGTGTATTTTCTCCATTAAAATCTATCAAGGTTGTCTTGCAGGGTATGAGGTCCTCCTCATCAAGATTCATCTTTTTGAAGGCATCCCATAGTATAATGTTGGCACTGCTTCCTGCATCTATGAAGATCTTTTTAACCCGGCAATTCACCAGGGTTCCGATGACGACCAACCCATCTACATGTCCTAGCAAAACACCTTGGATATCTTCCTTTGTGAAATAGAGCAGAGGAGTGTCTGGTTTACTGGAGCCCTCCTTAAATTTAGGACGATCCCGGATCGACAACACTTCTTTTAGGTACTTTCGCCTAGCACTTATAGTGTCTCCTCCTCCTCCTAGAGCTCCACTGATCACATTACAATCGAATTCGTCTTCCAGGAATTCATCGTTATTGGAATTATCTCTCTAGTTCCTTTCCTCTTTATTTTTCTTCTCAGGGACCAGACTCTTACTCCTCTTTCGGTTTTCAGACTTTCTTTTGTTGTTTTTGGCACCCTGAGTTTTGATTACATACTGGCGTAGTTTGCCTTCTCTAACAAATTTCTCCACAGCATCTCAGAGATCCCAGCATTGATCAGTGTTGTGACTCGGTCCATCATGGAAGGCATAGTACTTGGACTTATCCAAACCACCTCTATCAAATATGGGCCGAGGTCTATCTACTTTCTTCATCTCCGTTATTGCCACTTCCCTCCAAATTTGAGAGCGTGAGGAATTCAACGGTGTATACTTCTCATATCTTCCAACCTGGTCTCTATCATCCAGGATTCTGCTTCTGAAATCTTTCTTTTTATTATCGGGTCGCTCCTTTTCTCTTGGGGTTGGGCTCATCCTTCTTGGACTTGCTCTTTTACCTTCCTCTGATAGCGCATTTGCTATCTCCATTTGTTCGAGTTCCAAGTATTTTTTGGAACAAGTTATGAACTCCTCCAACGTCCTCACAGGATCTTTGTAGACCGACTTGGCTAGTCTAGATAATCCATCCCGGCCAGCCACAATGAGGTGGATATGGAGATTCTCTTGCAAACTCGGCAACTGCAAGGCAGCATCTTTAAACCTGTTAAGATACCTCTGGAGAGTTTCTCCGGGTTGTTGTCGTATCTTGCCAAATGCGAACTCGAACTTTGGATGCTTTTTGCTGGTTGCAAAATTCAGAAGGAACTTTTTTCCAAATTCCTCAAAAGATCCAATGGAATTGGCAGGAAGGGTTGAAAACCATGCCTGCGCTGCCCCAGTCAAGGTTATAGCAAATATCCGAGATATGAGGGGCTCAACTATTCCTCGGATATACATGTCCATGTCGAAGGCGTCTATGTGGACCTGTGGGTCCTGACTTCCATCATATTTCGACAAGCGTGCCGAATCAAAATCCTCCGAAAAAGGAGAATTCAGTATTTCACCAGTGAAAGGGCTATTATTATACTTCCCCCTACTGTATTTCCTCCTATACCCACCAGGTTTAGCTCGTCCTCTGGTGGTTTGAGTACTTTGATCGGGATGTGTACCATCCCAGTTTCTCTGGCCATTTTCTCTTGTTGAAGCATTCTAGTTCAAAGTTTGCACAACAGCATTCTGATCACCCATTCTAATGTTCTCCGGGTTCGGATCCATCATTCTTCCAAGATTGGGCCTTCTATTGCTTCTCAGGTTTGCACCCGATGTGATTCCCGGTTGGGCCTTCCTTGGTTTTCTACCTGGGTAACCCGGTTTGCATGATCCAGGTTGTGGTTCCCTTCTCGGCTATTAGCATTCTGGCCTAGGGCCTCTCTCACTCCAGGCCCTGTCATCCCTAATAAGCGCTGCTCTAGACCCTGCATTCTCCTGGTATTTTCTTCCTGCATTCTCTGGAAATCTTGTCGCTGGAGGTTATTACAATTCTCCATCTCTTCCATTCGTCGTAAAATTACAGCGACCGCATTTTGAGCAAGTCTAGAAGCAGGATCCGCAGATTGGGCAACGTGAGCGGCAGCAGTACCCCCAGGATGTTGACAGGGATTATTCAAAGTTGGAGCCGCAACTCGATCACGGGGTGCTGGGGTGGAGGCTGTGTCTGACACATCCTCACTGACATGAAATGATCATAATCTATTTCATTCTCAGGCTGGTTTTGAGGTTGATTCACCTCTTCGAAGACTGGATCCAACGACTGATTCTGAGGGTGTGGCTGTTGGCTATTACTCCTTGTACGGACTGCCATCTTTAGTCAGAATGGTGAGAATGTCAAATTCAAAGAAGAATCCCCACAGACGGCACCAATGTTCTATCTTAGAGATAGAGATGTCCAGCCCAATGAACTGGTATATTGATCTTGGATCTAATGCCCTCTGCAAGGTTTCTATGAAGGAGATACCCTTGAGCCAAGCAGATCATTGTGCACAATGATAAACCTTTGGTTTACCATGTTTTTAGGCTAAATTATACAAGAATTATGTAATAGAATGCATAGAATTCAAGGTTTTACAACCTATAAGTCATAAGATAGGAAATTGAGCTGACGTTTTGATGTTATTTGCATTTTGAAGGTAAAACCACAAAGAATGGTGCTAAGAAGTGCTAAAGAAATTATGACGAAGAAGTAGCGGCTCAATATGGACCAAGGGAAGCCAAAATCTTATAAGTTAAGAGCCAGAAGAGCACGCTCAAGCGCACAAGAGGACGCTCGAGCGCATCATAGCAGGAAAAACAGTCAAATTAAGCAACCCAGGATGCTCAAGCGCACAGATTAACCGGGGAACTAGGGTTCTTCTGAGATCACAGAGATTTAGTGTAACAAGGAATTGAGCCCTAATTAACTTAGATAGAATTGATTGGCAATATATTAAGAAAATGTTCTTGACTGTTTAAATCATAACATAACGAGGATATTTGGGGAAGTCGAAACCCTAACTATGCTTGTTTTAATTCTTGAATCAATCAGCATCTTTTTCAATTGTCTTTTTAATTCTGATATTTCTTGATTGCATGCTATTACTTGTTTTTAATTTTAAGTTCTTCAATTACAATTATCTCAATTCCAACTTTTGATTGTCCAACTAAAACGCGATTAGCGAACTAGTGCTTGAACTTCTGATCCTCGTGGGAACGATCTCGTACTCAGTACACTTTATTACTTTACGACCGGTGCACTTGCCGAGTCGCAACAAGTTTTTGGCGCCGTTGTCGGGGATCGAATTCTTTAACATTAGAAGTAACTAATTAACTTTTAGATTGGACGTTTTAATTTTCTGCACTTTAAACATTCTTCAAAAATATTTTTCTACATTGAAATTCTGCATCAAATTTCTGCATATTTATTTTTCTGCATTCTTTGTTTATTTTTATTATTTTTCTGTTTTGTCTTTTTCTATTTTTCTGCACATCTTTTCAATCTTAGTTTATGCGAGGTACTCTTAACCCGCGAATTTTGCAGTTTGATCCTGAGATAGAAAAGACAAAAAGGAAACTTAGAAAGGACGCAAAAGAAAGAAAAGCAAAAGAAGAGAAAGAAGCATCAAGTTTGACGAAACCTAAGGAGGAACCGATGGCAGAAAACAATCAACTCGCTCCAAGGACTTTGGGGGATTATATGACTCCAGCCCGAGTTCCGCAGACGGCGAGCATTGTTAGACCGGCCATAGAAGCTAACAACTTCGAGCTGAAGCCGGCACTGCTACAACTGATTCAAAAGAACAGTTTGTTGGAGGAAGCACAGAGAACCCCTATAGTCATCTTGATGATTTCCTATTTTACTGTGATACATTAAAAGGGAATGGAGTTTCTCGTGACGCTATCTTACTCAGACTATTTCTATACTCACTGAAGGATGATGCAAAAACTTGGTTGCAGTCTCAACCTGAAGGAAGCATAACCAGTTGGGATGACTTAGCAAGAAAATTCTTGGCCAGATTTTTCTCAGCTTTAAAGATGGCAAAGCTCAAATCGGAGATCACCTCTTTTGAACAAAAAGAAAGTGAATCTTTGTATGAGGCTTGGGAACGATTTAAAGGATTACTCAAAAAGTGTCCTCAACATGGAATTGAAGCATGGGAGAAAACAAGAATATTTTTAAAAGGAATGACGTCCAACACAAGAACACTGGTAAATGCTGCTGCATGAGGCTCCTTGAAAACAAAAACTCCAGAGGAAGCGCTAGAATTGTTGGGATCCTTAGCTTCTCAAGAATTTAACAATGCCCCAGTTTCACAAAGGAGAGCAGGAATTATGAAGCTCTGCGGCTATGATGCAATCTTAGCCCAAAATGAACAAATGCACAAGAAACAACAAGAACAATTAGATGCTCTTACTAAACAATTTAATCTTTCTCAAGTTTCTTCTGTTAGTAATTCTCAAATTAAATGTAGTATTTGTGCAGAGGCTCATGGGACTGAAGATTGTGACTATATGAGAACAACTGAAAAGCCACCAGCAGAGGCCAGTGGAGTCTGGTATGATTAAAAGAACCAGAACAATCCAGGAAGGAATCAATATGGTAATCAAGGGTGGAAAAATCCTAACCAACACCCTGGATTTAGTTACAAAACAAATCATCAACTGAATCCTCCTATGCCACTGCAACAACAACTACCACCTCAAGGCACCACTTCAGAATGGGAAAAGGCTTTTGCACAGCTATCCAAGACCACATCAGGCTACATTCAAAATGCAGATGCCTTCAGAGATGAAACACGAGCATCATTCCAGAATCAAGAAGCTTCTATCCAGAATCTGGAAACTCAGATTGGCCAGCTGTCAAAGCAATTTGTTGAAAGAACGCATGGCACCTTTCCAAGTAACACCGACACGAATCCAAATGCTCAATGTAATTCAATTGTTACTAGAAGTGGGATCGTGATCCAACCCGTGGAAAAGCCACCAGTGGAGAAGAAGAAAGAAGCAGAACCTGTAGCTGAAAAGGAGAAAGAAGAACATGCAGAAGAAGTTGAAAAGAGCAATCCAGAGAAGAAGTTGTTCAAATGGTTGAAACAAGAGATCCAGAAACAACAATACACCAAATTTCTGGATATCTTCAAGAAGCTGCAAGTGAACATTCCTTTCGTAGAAGCCCTGGAAAGCATGCCTAACTATGCGAAGTTCATGAAAGACCTTCTGTCAACGAAGCGCAAGCTAAAGGAGTGCGAAACAGTGGCCCTAACAAAGGAGTGCAGTGCAATCATCTAGAAGAAACTTCCTCCCAAGCTGAAAGATCCAGTCAGCTTTAGTATTCCTATAGCCATAGGAAATATTAAAGTAGGAAAAACATTATGTGATTTGGGAGCAAGTATAAATCTAATGCCATTTTCCATGTGCAGAGCTCTTGGAATCAAGGAACTCAAGCCGACAACAGTTTCTCTACAGTTAGTTGACAGATCGATCAGACGACCAGATGGGGTAATTGAGGATGTTTTAGTTAAAATTGACAAATTTATCTTCCTTGCAGATTTTGTAATTCTGAATATGGAAGAGGATGTCAAGATTCCCCTACTTCTCGGAAGGCCATTCCTAGCCACCGCAAGAGCAATGATCGATGTGGAGCAAGGGAAACTGATGCTGAGGATGAACGAAGAAACAGTGAGCATCGATGTCTTCGAATCAATGAAACATCCATCAGACGGAGGAGACTGTTTTATGATAGACATAATACAAGAAGCAATTGATGATACTATGAAAGAGGAGAGTTCTCCACTAGAGTTAGAACAAATCAATGAAGAAGCTGAAATAGCTGATAAAGAACCGGTGGTGGAAGAACTAGAAAGAAAGATGACATCCCTCTCGGAGCACCGAAGGTAGAGCTTAAGGAATTACCTCCAAATCTGAAGTATGTTTTCCTTGGTGACAACAACACATATCCAGTCATCATCAATAATGAGCTGTCAACCATGGAAGAAAGAAAACTTCTCAAGGTGCTGAAGAAACACAAGGCTGCCATAGGATGGTCCTTCTCCGATTTAAAAGGTATAAATCCTTCCTTTTGTACTCATAAAATTATAATGGAAGATGACATTAAACCTGTGAGGCAGCCACAAAGGAGACTCAATCCAACCATGAAAGAGGTGGTAAGGAAAGAAGTAGTTAAACTGTTGGATGCAGGGATGATCTATCTTATATCCGACAGTGCATGGGTAAGTCCTGGACAAACGGTACCCAAGAAAAGTGGAGTCTCAAGAGAGGAATCTTGTTTTGAATTAGGAAAAATGCCACTTCATGGTAAGAGATGACATAGTTTTAGGACACAAATTGTCCAAAGATGGTATAGAAGTTGATAGAGCTAAGATATCTGTTATTGAGAAACTTCCCCCTCCCTCTAACGTTAAAGGTATTCGAAGTTTTCTCGGTCATGCAGGTTTTTAGAGACGCTTTATCAAGGACTTTTCCAAGATAGCAAAGCCACTATGCAAGTTGTTGGTCAAGGATGAGGAATTCAACTTCATTGATGAATGTTTGTTAGCATTTAATATTTTAAAAGATCAATTGACCACTGCACCTATAATCACTGCACCTGATTTCACACTACCTTTTGAATTAATGTGTGATGCTAGTGATTATACCATAGGAGCTGTCTTAGGAAAAAGAAAGAATAAATTATTGCATGTGATTTATTATGCTAGTAAAATTCTTAATGATGCACAAATGAATTATGCAACCACTGAAAAAGAGTTACTAGCAGTTGTCTATGCATTTGATAAATTTAGACCGTATTTGCTAGGGTCTAAAGTAATTGTTTATACTGATCATGTTGCTTTAAAGTATCTGTTGAATAAGCAGGATGCAAAACCACGACTGCTCAGATGGATGCTACTCCTTCAAGAATTTGAAGTAGAGATCAGAGACAAGAAAGGTGTGGAGAACTTAGTGGCTGATCACCTCTCCAGAATTCAAGAGAAAGATCTTCAAGATGGACCTGAGTTGAAGATCAGAGAAGAGTTCCCTGATGAACAAATCTTGGCTATCAATGTCATCTCGGACCTGAATTTAGAGGAAGCAAAGAGCACAAGTACACCTCCATGGTTCGCGGATTTTGCAAATTTCAAAGCAGCAGGGGAAATTCCAGGGATTTTACATGGCAACAAAGGAAGAAGTTTCTACATGATGTCAAGAAATACTTATGGGATGAGTCTTTCCTTTTCTACAAATGTGCTGATTGAGTAATAAGGCGATGCATTCCAGAAGAAGAGATGAAAGACATCCTTTGGCACTATCATGGTTCCAGCTACGGTGGACATTTTGCGGGAGAAAGAACAGCCGCAAAGGTACTGATGAGTGGCTTCTATTGGCCAACACTCTTCAAAGATGCAAGGAAGTTCGTAGAATCATGTGATAGATGTCAAAGAACGGGGAATATCTCTAGAAGACATGAAATGCCCCTCAACAACATATTGGAGGTTGAAATCTTCGAAATAGACTTCATGGGACCCTTTCCTCCCTCTTATGGAAACAAATACATCCTTGTTGTTGTCGACTATGTCTCCAAATAGGTCGAGGTTGTTGCTCTTCCTACTGATGATGCTCGGGTAGTCATCGCGTTCCTAAAAAGAAACATATTCGACCGATATGGAGTGCCGCAAGCAATTATAAGTGACGCCGGAACACACTTTGACAACAGACAAGTGGAATACATACTGGCTAAATGCGGAGTGAAGCACAAGATTGCAACACCGTACCATCTGCGAACAAGTGGTCAAGTAGAGATTTCAAACCGAGAGCTGAAGCGTATCTTGGAGAAAACAGTGGGAAGTTCCAGGAAAGACTAGTCCAAGAAGCTTGATGATGCACTGTGGGCATATCGGAATGCATTCAAGACACCAATAGGAATGTCCCCGTTCCAGTTATTGTTCGGGAAAGCCTGTCACTTACCGGTGGAGCTGGAACACAAAGCACTATGGGCAATAAAGTACCTGAACTTCGACTCCAAGACCGTAGCTGAAAAAGAGATTACTTCAACTGGATGAGCTCGATGAATTCAGACTCTCTGCATACGAGAGTGCAAGCATGTACAAAGAAAAGACAAAAAAATGGCAAGACAAGAAGATCCTGCCTCGAGACTTCAAAGTAGGGAATCAGGTATTACTCTTCAACTCTCGTCTCCTTCTCTTCCCTGGGAAGTTAAAATCCAGGTGGTCAGGACTATTTGTTGTGAATAACATGAAGCCATACGGAGCAGTAGAGATCAGTCCACTAGATTCTGACAGAAGCTTCACAGTTAATGGCCAACGCCTACATGGGAGGAGAAATTGACAGGGGAACAGCCACAGTTTCCCTTGTAGAGGTAAAGTGAGTCAGGTACGTCAGGCTCGTGACGTGAAACAAGCGCTACTAGGGAGGCAACCCTAGAATTTATTATTTTCCAATCTCTTTAATTCAAATATTTAAGAAAAATACCAAAAAAAAAATTAGATAGTTAAAAACTTTTGGGGTCGAAGAAAGCGCTCGAGCGTACACATGGCCGCTAGAGCGCGTCAATCCAGGAAAATTTAAAAAAAATTGGCACTTTGCACGCTTGAGCGCACACATGGCCACTCAAGCACACAAGATGAGACTCACAGGGGTATCTCCCTGCCACAACGCGCTCAGGCGCACCATAGCGCGCTCAGGCACGCGTGAAGAGGGAAAAATAGAATTCGAACAGCACGCTCGAGCGCCCACTTGGCCGCTTGAGCGCGCTTCAGCGGTTCCAGAATTTTCACTTTAAATTCCCCTTTCTCCTTTCCCCCCCCCCCCCCACTCTATTTCATTTTCTCTCCCTCACATTTTCGCTGCACATACCCTAATCTTCCTATCCCTCTTAAGTGTTTCTCTCCCAATCACAAGCAAACAAGGTACGATTCTTCTTCTATATCTTTTATTATGAAATTGTTGTCAATTGATATACTAAGGTTCTAAGAAAATTTTCAAGTTTGGGATTCTAGGGTTCATAATTGGGGTTTCTTAATTTTTACATATTGATGAAGCACCATGATGAGTAATTGCACTCATGAGATTAAATTGAACGTTTAGTGAGGTGAAAAATATGTTAGTTAGGTTATGCATTACAATTGTATGACCAATTCTTGTTGGTCTTGGTTGAGACAACTTTGCCCATAACATGTTTGTGGAAATGCTCATATGAACCAATTGACAAGATGTTAAAAGAAACTCTAGATAGTGTGTAGTATTGGCATGATAATAGCATTGCAAGTTTACATTTTGAATTTATGCTACACAGATGCTCCATCTATGATTCAACATCAAGTTCATGGTATACTATAAGTCAAGTAGATCAAGTGTTTGATGTCATGTCACAACCAATATTTGCTCCATAAATTGAAAACTACATGACTTGTTGTGGACATCATATAAACAATTCCTAACTTCCTAAATTATATAAGATCATTGTGGGAATACATGAGTTTAATTACATTGTAAAATCATGCTTGAATCATCATTCTATTGCAAAGCACACTTCAAATATGACTGCACACTTGAATGGTACATGCTTAGCATTAGGAGAAAAATCAACACTTACGGTAAAATTATGGAAAATGTGAAGTTATGATGATTTAACTCCTTCTATCATAGAACCAGGACTTAACACTAAATCTGGGAATTCCCAAAATGTAATGTATCTTGATTTGGAATTTTTTTTCTGGATTTCAAGATGTCAGGAAGAGGAAAAAGGCAACGAGGCTCCAAGCAACTAGGTGCCGGTTCAAGTTCCCAACCACCGGTACAAGAAGAGGTGCCAAGGTTCAAGTCTCCTGCTCATGAGCAGAGGTACCATGGCCACATACTAGGAAATGCAGTGCGTAAGGAGAAAGTCCTCCATCTTACCATGGGCCAACACCCGGATTTCTACAACAATATTACCAGGCGGGGTTGGAGAAACTTCTGCACCTTGCCAGTGGTGACTAGGGAGGATATTTGCCGGGAGTTCTTTGCTAATGCTTATACTGAGCATGAAGAGGGGGTCAAAAAGCAGTATGTAAGTTTTGTGAGGGGAAAAAAAATCAAGTACGACTCCCTCTCTATTCAGAACTTGCTGAAGACTGCCCTTTGTGACAGAACATCTGTCACCACTTGTGCATACCACAATACATGCCATAACATTGATTATGTTGAAGATGAATTGGAGGCTGCAAAGCCTATTTTGGAGTGCATCACCAATCTAGGTGAAGAGTGGGACAAAATAAAGGACGAGCGTCCTA